TCTAAGTCAAGAAGTCGTTCTCCTGGGAGTAGTTCCACACCTTCTAATTCGTGTCATGTAAAGGCGATTTCCGGGACTTCGTCAACAGCGAAATTGAAGAGGAAAGGTGACAGCGAGCATCCTTCTCTCACGCTGCTGGAGATATTAAAGGGCGACGAAAGCTTTCCGTAAGCCCGCACTCTGCCCGAGCTACCCGCATAAAATGCTCCGATAATATTCACATATTTCTCAGGTACACCTTTCCTTAGTACACAGTCCCAAAGTGCATGTCTGCCTACCAAATCGAATGCACCTTTGATATCGAGGAACACGACAACGGTGGGCCACCAACATATGTGACGGTGCTCCAACAACTGAAGCAAGGTGAAGATGTGGTCAATGCAGCTACGACCTCGACGAAATCCAGCTTGCTCTTCACGAATCTGGCTTTCACGTGTGTCAGTCAGTCTGTGAAGGATGATAGAGGCAATCAATTTGGAGGCGATGGAGATCAGACTGATTCCTCTATGGCTGCCGCATTCCGATCGTGAGCCTCGTTTGAAAATTGGGACTATGATGGAGCGGCTCCAATCGTTTGGGGCAGTTTCCTGCTCCCACAGTTTCACTAGTAACTCGTGTAAATCATCCACAAGAGCAGGTCCCCGAATTTAAAGAGGGATGGCGGAAGATCATCCGGTCCCGCGGCTTTATTTAACTTCAACAGTTTGATCTCATGTTCGACTTCTGAGCGAGAGGGTGGGTCCAAAGGAACAGCCCACGGAGCAGGGCGATCACTATCGGCGAGAAATCTAACAATTCCGACCGAATGAATTGCCTTTCAAAGTGCTCAGCCCAAAGTTCCAGGCGTTTTGATAAGTTTTGGATAGACTGTCCACTCTCGTCACGTATAGTTTCATTAACACCAGGTCTCCTGCTGCCCGTTTCCTGTGTAAGACGGAATAACTCACGATGGTTACCAAGGGCAGCGGCCATTTCCATCTCTGTTGAACGACGAGACCACCAGGATTCGCGGTCCCTCTTCAGGCTAGCACGGAGTTTTGCCCGGAGCTCTTTGCGAGTTTCATTGTCTTCGCTTCCAGCCAAAATATGCCGGGGAGCATCCATAATTTCCAAAGAATGTGAAGAGACCAAATGTTCATGTTGGCGATTAGACATACCACATGAGGATTTTCCTGCTGCTAGTAAGGCCTGTTGCATATGAGAGCAGTGAGCTTCAATTGCATCCAGTGAGCGTTTATCCAACTCGGATGACAGCGTAATTTGATAGGCGTTCAGAACAGCTGGATTCACCAGTCTGCCGGTGTCAATGCGCTCACAACGTCGTGGTGGCCGTCCGCCAAAGCGCATCTGCAGGTCAGCACATACAAGTGCATGATCGGTGTCAACACCTGTGTTCCAAATCGAGCGACAGTTCTGGAGGCAGCCTCTCCAGCGGTAACTGATAGCAATGTGATCGATTTGCGTCCATAGCTGGTTCGAGGCTGGTGGGCGCCAAGTCACCCTCCGGCGGGTGCTGTGTCGGAAATTAGTGCTCGCAAGAAATAAGCCAGCATCCTCACGCAAATGAAGTAACCGCTCACCGTTATCATTACGGGAGCCTATACCATGTTGGCCGCCCAGATGCAGCTCATCTGTGGATAATTTTCCAACTTGAGCGTTCAGATCCCCAGCCAGCACTACAGTGTCCGAGCTTCTTCTGTGGCGAAGGAGTTCGTTCAGTTGACGATAGAAGTCGTCTTTTACCGAGTCGGTGCATAGGCAGCGATAACGAATAGACACGTGTTAGTCCTACGCGACTTCGAAGTTTTGAACGAGCCAGCCAATCGGACCGCACACATCCGGCTGCTGCTTGGAATCCAGTCAACCAGAGCAGCTGCAGCCGGGGAATCAGGACAATACTAATACCGGCTTGGCCGGTGTTTGAAGCTGCATCGTCACCGAATAGGCGCAATGAGAAAGTGCTGCTAGTGTCACCTGAAGGGGATCGCAGAGTGAGTACAGAGCTGGAGTCTGGCAGGCGGGTCTCCGATAAGCAGCAGATATCGATCGAGAGGGTCTCTAATGTTCGGGCAAGTGCTGCCTGTTGACCGATCTGAAGCAATGTGCGAACATTGAGGCATGCCAGTCTGAAGGAGGATCGAGGGCTCCAAATGGAAGCCGATGAACTGGAATGGGCCGCTTGCTTGGACATGGGCCTGTTGACAGTGCAGGAATGACGCTCTGCGTTCACCTGTGAGTTGAAACTAAAAGACAAGCGACTATTGAAGCAAGTGGGGGAGGGCCGAGAATTGAGGGGTTGAGAACAGGTGGGATAAAAGTAAAGCTGGAACGGGACGATAAGGGTGAAAAAGCGCAAGAAGGGGAATAAGAAGATGGGAAGGCTTGAGCAGTAGCATCCAAACCCCTATCCACCGTGCTCGATGCAGCAGATAGGGCACCGTTGATTATCCTCTGCGGTGGCCATATCATCAGAAATTTGTTTGGGGAAGGATTCATTGTATTGTGTGGGCAGGATACTGTCATGTGGCCCAGGCCTAGACAGGAGAACGACTAGGGTTCTCAACCAAAGCTTTTGGTTCAAAAACCTGGCCGCAAGGCAGCGGGTTTGGCACTGGACTACAAGTATCCGTTTTAAGGAATAAGGAGTTACCCTCATTCCAACCCCCAACCTGGAGGACCAGGAGGCTGAGTTTGTATGGTCTATAACCATTGACCAATCTGGTATGAGTGGCTCTGAAGGTGCAAAAGCACCACGCAGTATAGCTCAATGGATCACTGAGGCACACAAACCATCGCACCACGGTAAGGTCCAGCCTCATCGCGATGGCTCAAACTCTGGTTTACTTTATCAGATAACTAGATGTGACTCGGGTTTCGCTACGTAACAGCTACTAATTCCTACCACTGTGCCATGGGGAATAGAGGAGTTTGCCAAATAGGTCACATTTACAAGATCAGTTACTTGTTTGTGGGGAACGCTGCCAATCCAGCTTGGCTCAGTTTCCATAAGAAAATATTTGAAAGGGAAACATCACTATTCCTAACACCCAACCTAATTGTTAGGATGCGCCAGTTTGGCTTATCCCCTGATATTAGTAAACGCTTACACTAATGCTAATGACCAGTTACATTATGCTTTTTTCCGAAAGGACACAGATTATCCGCCGAAAAACGACGTGACCGGAGGTGGTCAGTTTACAATAGATATTATAGGCAAGAGTTGGTCTCTATCCTCCATCGCGACGTCAATTATGCTCAGTCGTTTGGTAAAATTTTAGACGAGAAGAACGCAATGTAATCCTATGATTGTGTGCTCTCAATGGAATCGTGCAGAAGGATAGGGTTTGTCGTACAATCTTTTCCTATTGCTTGCTGTGTGGTTCGGTTTAGTCCCATTCTATCGAATGGTAGTGTCATGCATATTATCGTATTTTTGTATTTTGACACTGCTGAGACGTTTTTTTCACTCACAGCTAACGCTTATTGATTTTGATATACAACAGCGTTCCGAAACATGGTGAGTTTCGGCAGGGCTAGCGTGCTGTCTAGTAAAGACTGCAAACATCTGATTAACAGCACTGCGACGTGGTAAATGTGACACTTAACTAGTTAAAGTCCCAGCCTCAACTATTCGGATGATCTTGTCCGATATCGGGACGTCAGACACCCAGTACATATGTTTCTTTCACTGAATCACGGGAGGTGCAAACTTCAGCAAACCTAAAATTCTCATTTAAGCGAATAAATCAATGGAGGTGGACGCATTGAAAAGACCTGTTTTTCAGCTTACCTACACATATTATACTACAACAAGCCTTAACTCGCAAATCCTCCGAAATATTGGCTGCATCCGTTGACTTTTTCAATATTTTTAATCAATAATCGTACATCAGTGATGCACGATACGTGGGTCATAATACCAGACGCCTATCTCCTATGATGCTCCCACACATTCTGAAGTGGTATCACAGAGGCGAAGCGAGGGCTTGTGGTAGAACCAGTATGCCGCACAACTTAGAGTGTGGTCACTCAGAAAGTGAAATCGATTACAGCGTCAGTTAGAAAATTCCAAAACCCTTTCTGGCGCGGATTCCGAAAGCATATCATTCCCACTGCAGAAACTCCATATATCTGTCACTAAAAGCAGGAGTCTTGCATAGATAATGTTTGTACGTCCTTTACTTCTACCGCAGGCTACAAATTTATTTGCATTTGTCTTTTAATCTTTCTTTACGACGGTGATTTGCCCCTTGTACACCTATACTAAGCGCCAGATTTCTTGCTTCGTTTCATTTGGAATTAATCACTCTTCTCAATACGGAACATTTACCACATAATTGTCCTCATGTAAAGTGAGTCTGATGTGATTTACGGTAAAGAGTTCTTTACTCAGAGTCTGCCTTCCTTGATTCAGTTCCGTTTACTCTTTTCATGCTGACGAGCTGACCGAAAACAATCAGAGACACGGCGTCACAGTTAAAAATTTGCGTAACACAACCATACAAATGCATACATACATACATCCCCATAAGCCTACCGACCAGATCCATAAGCTACCGAAAAACGTTTAGTAGAAGTTACATGTGACTTTCATTCTAGTTTACATCACCATGATCACGCTTATTCAAGTTTGCCTCCCACTGTCGAGAATAAAGCACTTATTTAATCATTGAGAATCCTATCCACTTCGTTACCAAACATCCATTTTTCATAACTGGATATTTCCTGTTTTGCCTATAGTGAATACAACTCACTCAGCTTACTCGCAATGACATAACAGATATGAAACTGTTTATATACGGTTATACGCGCAATCGGCTTTCAAGGTAGTCAAAGTAAGCTGTTGTCCGCCGTAGTCAATTGCCCTCTCAAAGTATACCAAACAGCCTATCTGCGCAATTGAACGATATAAAAAGTAACTAAAAGCCCCTTCTGCAGATTAGTCTAGTAAGCTCTTATACACATGATTCAGCGAATTTGCGGCAAATAAAAGCAACTCTGGGAATGTGCACACAATGTTATTAAAAAGTTCAACAAGAAATAACGGTGGCAATTTTCAGCAAAATATGGGAATTTTTTCTGTATCAGTTTGCATCGGAAAGGGCATCTGTAGATTTCTGTTGACCATATCGAACGCTGAATTAGCGCGGTGTTTGCATTTTTGGTGAAATAAAGGACAAGAATTCATATGTCATGTGTCTCCGGAAAAGGAACTCAAATGTTTGCCATGCTGGAACGCGTTTCTATCCTTTTTGGCGCAGGTTTTGCAGCGGAGCCAACACTCATAGCGCGGTGACGTGCCTGTTTCTTTCGAATTGCTTCTATAGCTACGAGACGACTTATGTGCGCGAATTCATCCACGTCCGTGACATCCTCTTTGCTTACATAGGTCGCGGATGTGCATCCGTGCTCCGGCTCAGGTCGTAGCGATTTTGAAAGACGGCTCCGACTTGCTCGATTCATCGTGATTGTTGGTATATCTATTCTACGCTCTCGCACACTCAAGCGACCTGCCGTTAAACTCGGGTTGAGGTTTGACTTAGAGGTGCTCCCTTTTCGTCTGTGCAAAAAAGCTGGATAAAAGCTCAATCTACGTTTGACAGGTATGGTGTCATTCACTTCGGATGTCCGCCTCAGTTCCCTGGTTGCATCGGTAGAGAACATAGATCCGTTCTGCTGAGTAGGTATATGCAGCTGAGGAATCACCTTTGGCACATCGTGATCTACGCCTTTCATGATTTTCCCTTCACCATGTTGCCTTACCGTCTTGGCCCGTCTATGCACCGTGGCATCAGAAGAAAGCCCTCCATCGCTGGCTTTCCGCAGCGACGATCTCATTTGGAGCGTTCCTATGTCAATTACAGGTTCATCGTTCTCCATCTCATCTGCAAACGGTATTTCGCTAGTATTCCCTTGAATAATCTCAAATGCGCCTGAATGTTTTCGAGCAATTGCATTATGGTCCGGTTCCTGCGTTGATGTATCATCATATACCTGGGCAGTATGCTGTTGTTCCAAGTACTTGAACGTGTTAAGATTATCTGCTGCCGTTGGCACTGTACAGGGCATTGCAGTAGATGAAAGAAAAGAATACTCAACATTGTCTTCACTGACACCACGTCTTTCTAATGTAGGGGATTGCTCCTTAACGGTCGCCAAACCGCTGGAATATCGCAATGTTGTAGGATCAGGACACATCAAAGTAATCACATTTTCAACATCTTGTTCGTCTGATGTAGATGGTTGCTCAACGCATACATTATGAATTGTCGTGGGAATTACGTGTTCTTCTATTATGGACGAGGTTTCTTTTTGTATCATCAACTTTTGAGGATTCATTAATAATTGAGCATTTGGTGGACATAGGTAACTTCCTGGTGCTGGTTTCGTTAACTGACTGCTATAACCGGTCGATGGGACAATGTCCATTTCCATCCGTGCAGTAGAACTTTGCTCGGAGGCACGCAGCAATGATCCTCTTGGAGTGGCAGTGTAGGCAGAAGAGGGGAGCAAACTAGTCTGCTTCGTGGATGGATCAAGGTAACTGAACGAAGAACCACTAAATCGGGTAGAGTGTCTTCGACCAAATCTTTTATAAACATTAAACTGATAATAATCCATATCTCGCTGCGACATCGGCGGATGTACTTCATTTGGTGGGTTCTCTAGTCCACATTCTATCGCATTCTGTGGCGTCAAAAATGCTGGGCCCATGCCGATAGCTTCAGCTGAACAACGTGAGCCTTTCTGTTTGCTGCTATTAGTGTGCGATGTTTTCGAACCGCTGCCACTTCGCAGGATGGCAGCACATTTATCACATGGTTCCGCATTTCGCACAGAATCCTTTTGAGAACTATCTTTGTTGAGACAACTGTGACTAAGGGGCTGACATGGTCTCCTATTTAATAGAGATTGATTTGGACGGGTCCAGAACTGCAGTTTTTTCGACAAAACAATCTGGCAAGCACAATATGTGCCACAGCAATAGCATACATGATATTTGGACCGATACCGCATTCCATCTGTTTGTATACCTGAGTCTGGATTATCCTGCGAATACGTTTCAAATACCGGACATTCGTCTAAAGCGAACGGACAGTTCAAACCGCGAACGCGGTCTTGCAGTTCGAGTAACATCGCTTTCAGGTGCATCTTTCTGTACATCCGTTTCCAATGAGTTCGTATCAACGAGACCAAAAATTTATTGAGCCAACCGTATAACCACGGGTTAATGCATCCTGAGCCCATAGCTAGTAATTTCAGAGATAAGTCAATTAGCCTCGTTGTATGTTCAATTGAAGAGATTCCGAATATGGGGAACTCCGAGTTATACTCACCGGTGACGTTTTGCCGTCCAAGGGGTTCACGTGACGCCCCAGCAGGTGCAGCGAGGAGCTCGCTATACCCTGCAATGTCGTTGGGATAAACATCAAACAAGGAAGCAGGATGAGGAATTTCGTGTGTCCCTGGTGCATACACCATGGTGTTACTTATTAACTGCTTTATATTTTCAAATTTGCTCACGTCTGGTGGTGGCAGCTTGGCAGTACTCCTCCATGATCCTTTTTGTATGGAATATGCATGCACTTCTAACCACAATGAGAAGCATGTCCAAGGACCCCAACAAAGTGCAAAGCACAGAACAATGCGGATGAGAATTTTGTTGGTCTTTCTTTTTCTTTCCACCGAATTGCGATGAAATCGGCGCTCATGCAGCCGAAAAAATATGTGTCCGTAGAGCACTGATGTAAGAAACAGAGGTATGAAAAAATGGGACAGAAAGACGACGACAGAATAGATAAGTCTGGCCTCATCACTGGGCCATCGTTCGACGCAATAGGTGTGACGTTCTCTTGAAAACGTTGTGTTGGCATCGGAGGAACTCGGAGGTATGGCATGACTTACTGTAGTATAGATTGCGATTGGGATACTGATTATCACGCTGATCATCACAACAAAAACAATGAGACAGACGGCGACTTGATTGGACATTCTTGGTCGAAGAGGATAGATGATTATTTGGTGTCGATCACAGGCAATCAGGAGCATGATCAAACAAGAAACGTGCATAGGCAAACCAAATAGGGGAAAGACTAATTTACATATTGTTGAGTTTAGGAAGATTGTCTCCTTCAGCTCGTAGTAAAGTTGTACAGGCATGTTGGAACCACAGAGCACTATGTCCGAAAGAGCCAAAATGAGTACAAAAATGTTTGTAATGTTTGATAGTGCTCTTCGACGCACGAACAACAAGATGTATGCTACCAGAAAGTTAGAAATCACGCCTAGAAACACAAAAGTGCTGTAGATTGTGGCAGTGAGGTTTCGCACCCAAGCGACTCGATGATAACCGAAGTCATGGTGTCCATATGCCTCAAGTAAAATTGCCTGTCGGATGTGTTCCGCGTGTATTCTTCGGGAACTCACAATGGCATCTGTTGAGGAACCTAATACCGGGATCACCTGGAGTTCACGAATGTGTTCGCCGCTGAGCGAATCACCTGATGGATGTGTATTGGTGGGTGCCGTCATCAACATCATGAGCAACATGACGGGGCTCATGATATGAAGGTCAGCAAGGAAGTAAATTTTCTTCCCATTCAACCAAGCTGTAATGGAATAAGTGGAAATGGTGAGCCACTGTCAGCAGTGTTGAGCATGTAATAATGGTATCAAGGCATCCTTCTTGAGGTTTACAAAAAACAATATGCAAATAGGCATAAACTTTGAAATAAAGGGATTTGAGTGCCGTGTGGTACTACTATTAGGATTTGTGGACGCATTTCTTTAATCAACCTACGCTTCGGTTTAAGGTGTTCATGATTGACGACAGTGCCAACGAATGAATTATTTGAATCGCAACTTGAAATACATCCAAACAAGTCAAACTGGGTGACCAAGTAAATTGCCTGTTAGGTTTACAGGTGAAAATGTATTCAAAATATTTAAAGCTAATATTCGTAAAAGCAAACATGTGCAAAGCGAATTCCGTTATTTACTTAACAATAAATCATCTGGTTATATTGCCAAAGCATACCAGAAAATCCGCTATGCTATAGATTGGTGAAGTATTTCCGAAGAGTTAACTCGGTCGCTGGAATACAAGCGCTGTGTGGATAATGACAGATAAGAAGACCAATTAGCTGGTATCGTACTTAAACCTTGCACATACAACGTTGTGTGTCCTTTGCGAAGATAAACAGAGATCAAACCTCTTCATATCTCTGTTCTCATCAGCAGCAGGTAGAAAGGATGGGTTGTAATGTTTGGTTACCTAAAAGCAAGTTCTTACAGCCAGTTCATGCATTTTGTCAGGTTTACATTCATTCGGTCAAGACAAGATTGCCAAGACCATGTTTAGTCTTACCAGGTAAGTATAATCTTCCAAGTATCTCTCACATGAATTGGAGCATAGTTCTAACCAATGAACCACAAATGACAATCAAAAAGTAATCATCGAGAAGCACGGCCAATACAGATAAATGAGAGATCCGGTGCCCTCCCATATCTGGGAGAACCATATCCACCTATATGCTAATTAGTTTTGATTGATACAGTGCGGACAGCTAGGCGTCTGGTGTGTCATGCGGAGCAGTTTCTGGGATGTTGAATTTGCCCTCATCGAACCAAATAATTATCGTTCGCTACCGCCACTAAGGAGAACATACTCTGTCGATGCAAACTTGCATTGCGTCTACTAATTGGCATCTAATCACACGTTTAGAAACGGCAAGACATTGATTTCCGGAATGGAGGAGCACGTGTCATTATGGGTGTGTTGCGAAACTGCGTGGCAGATATGTCCAACTTAGACCACGTGTTCACACCGGCTACCGAATTTTCGCTTGTCTAGCACTTGTTGACCACTGGTCATCTAATTAAGGTCAACGAAGTGATCAATAGCCTGATGTACCGTACCGATTCCCGGTTTCTCCGGTCTGCCGAGTTTGATGCGAGCAGCCTTAGGCGGCACTGCATAAGGGCGTAGCAATACAGTGTTCCGTACTTTTGTTCGCATGAACGCGTGCACCTCAAACGAATGCTAATGATCAAGATTCATTCACCGGCACTGATAAGAAACTATGAAATATGTGTATGTATCTGCAGCCTGGTGAATGCGCGATATCACAAATAATAGATAAAGTTTCTTGAGTTTCTACTGCAATCTGGAGAGCACATTTTTAGGTTTTCCATGTGGCTTAAAAGGGATACATTTCTTTAGGTCAGGAATACAGTTAATTTTATTAAGGTCTATTGACTGGGCAATTAGAAAGCAACCGATAACCATAAATATCCATGCGCTGAATGGAAATGTCATTTGTGCTATACGTGGTATTTTTATGTCGGCACACTGTTGTGTGGATATTTAGCTACCATTGGGTGTCACTTGATTTATTCTATTCCATTATTGGAATGTACATGAATAATAGATACATTACTGCTGGCAAAAATGTTAGATAGTTAACTAGAATGCAAAGTTAATGTAGGTTACTTATTCAGGTTTAATTATTCATGGTAAATGCGCATGGTAAATGCGTAACTTGTGGCTTTGGGCGTGCACGAGAGAAATCGAATACTCTCAAATGCCAGCCATGTTTCAATGAATGCCAGTAATTTTTGCAAGTAGGTATTTGTAAATAAACGGAAGCACCATCTGAAAAAGTCAACTTACTTGTGATAATGCGTTAACAAAGGAAACAAAAGATAACCAAGTAGCAGACCACGACAGTTTCAGTTTAGACCCCCCTATTCTCGTAGGTTAGCATAGCATTTACTAATAACCAAAAGTTAGCAACTTGCACAATAAGCTGTCGTTAATGTGTATGACAGTCTCATGGAATACAGCGAACGGAAATATATCTATTCATTGATATGTAGGTAGATTTCGACAACTGAGATTGCTTACAAAAGGAAACAATAAGAAGCCGGATGCAAATGGTTTAAAAAGATGACCAATAGGTAAAGCTTTGCATAGAAACCAAAATATGCATGCATTGACTATTGGTAATACCATTACCATGGCAGAATTTATTAATGCCACCTTAATCTGTGAAACTCTATGAAATGATCTGCACAGAACCATTTATAATTAGGTTAAAATTCATCCACCGTTACCTAAACCACGGACCTAATTTGCATTAGCCAGAACTTAGGAGCAAAATTTATCTAACAATTGCGTTAAAATAGTAAATATTTTCACTAAGTAACCACTTGCATTCATTTGGTCAGTTTTATATTAGACCTGATATTGTGCTTTCGTTACAGAGATCAAAAAGCGCATGGATCATAAGCTAAATGCCTTTCAGTACAGGTTTTCACGTAAGGTTCAATGTCCCGATGTTGTAATAGTATAGCCACAACTATTTTCTTGCAAATGACAGAATTTCGCACAAAAGCTCTAAGCTGAATGATGGAGTATTTAGCATTTCTTTACGGGTTAATATTTTGTATGCCATGAACATGACTGCGATATTGATTCTTCAAATGTTATTCGGATGGAGAGAGAATAAAGCCGCGGGGGACGGTAGCGATCGCATCAATTTTTAATTTATTTTTGGTGATAAATGATGGATGGCTGTGTTAAGCAAGGCCTCCTACCATTCTACATATGAACCGGCCAAATCTTTTTTCTGTCAGATTTGTAGAATTGCGATAAACTAAAGCGCGTTAATTTTAACGGTCGCAGGGCATGGGTTTACCCATATGTTAAGTAGGTGCTGTTCGAACAGACCAATGAAATTCATATAGATAGCAAGTTGTTATACGTATTTTTAGTTTTTCTTCTTTTGGGCTTCTCTATTTCCTTATTAGGTGTTACGGTTGACATGCCTAAATCATTTTTCGATCATGAACTAAAACACACTAAACAACCTGTGATGCACCAGGAAAACATCAATTGCATGAGAAGTTTGGTGAAAATAAAATTTTTATAATGTTATTATTATTAAGAATATACCAATGGAGCGAATTCGGTAACAGACGCAAGATTGCCGTCATCTTTGTAACTGCGCCATATTCTTTCGGGCACAAAAATGATAGGTTAAGGGAATGTATATTAGTAAATGCAGATATTGCGCAATAATGATATTATTTGACTTTTGTCACGTGAATTGTTAAGACGCGCGAACTACCCGTTTTACAATTACATAATTTAAAGCAATATTTCAATAAATGTTTACTAGTATCATCATTTTCACCCACCAGAAATAATTGTTTGTACAAACGATAACTCAGTTGATATTGGATGTCTGCCTTATACTCGTAGAGAATCGATATCACTTTTTATTGATGCGCTTGTTGAAACCAGTTAAAAGTTCTGTGCATTATTAACGTTGTTTAGAGATGATAAGTTTTACTAAGTCCACTCTTTTCATTGTGTAACATTTGTTGCATTTATGAATTTAAACCAATTTTCTAAATATACGTATGAAACAACATTTTCATAATAATTGTGCTGAAATTTTTCCGGTACGTGTGAAAATAATCCACATACCTCCACCTCATGATGATCTATCCTGAGTGAAGGATCAAAATGAATTTCTAATGGTTGCCTCTAAAACATTTCTTCTGCCTTGGGCGAATCAAACCCGTTGGATGGTATCAGTACTACCAATTGGTGTTCAAAAGATGAGCACATGATCAGTCAGTCAATCTATTTTGTTTCCATCTAAACCTACTGAGGCCACTAAAATTCGTATTGTGCATACTTGTGTGTGTTCTTCTGAAACATTTTGACAGGTGCTACTCAGTCCATCTAATGTCTTAGACCAAACTAGTCTGGATCATAATTTTGTTCTATTTCACTGACAGTAAATCTTTTGTCAAAAACTTCGTGTGAAATTTAAGCACTCCTGAGAAGTGTAATAATAATTTCAATCACATTCGGAACCAGAAAATAAGGCCTCTGTAATGATGACGCAAACATCCCTGCAGGCTACAACATAGCAAAACTGAGGGATAATTTGAGGCACAAATCCTATGAACGTGATGTCCGAGAGATTTAGGGACGATTTTCATTACTCTGATTGCAGATCGCGTAACGCGGGCTGATGAATACACCGCGTATGCGAGTGCTCGCATAATCGAAGGAAGACAGACTGATGAATTTAGCAATTTGTCAGAGACCACGCGACCTATAGAGGCAGTGAGAATGACACGTGGCTCGGCAAACTGACCTTGGCGCCAGAACAACCAATTCGGGGTTCACAGGTGAATAACCCCCACACATGTTCACGTGACCTGACAGACGCGAGTGGCGAAAGCGCTTTGCTAATGCGCACATGTAAAACATGCAATAAGATGGCGGCGTTCAAATTGCACGACATATTTCCATGCCGAATTCGGCAGAAGTAAGCAAATTCAGCTTACGCTGATCGGCAGCAGGCCAAACCCAATTTGGTTCTGTGTGGAGTGTTAGGTAAGGCAGTGATTGCGCTGTCCTAGCAGAATGAAATGCAGGCAAAAGTTTTGCACAGAGATTGGCCAGAAAAGCGCTTCAATAGCCACAAGCATAACATAATGTTTGACACAGGTCTATCCGCCGTATTCCGCTGCATGCTGAATACGCAAGGCCGGAGGTTGTACTAACAAAGAGACACTTGCAATCCCC